TACCGCTGCCGAACGAAAATAATAAATAAAACAATAAAATCAATTAAATATTATCACTACCCGAAATAATTTAACTCCACCCAATGCTGATTAAAATTTATCATGACCCTAACCTAACCTAACAGGAGGAGGAGTGGTGTACTGATGTGGTGACGGGGTGCTGAACCAACCAGCCACTTGTTATTCTATGCCAGTAACGTCAAGCACTCACCGAGAATGAAACTTACCGCATCAAGTACACTACCACACAGGGAAACACACACACACACCACAGCGTCCCAGCCACCTTTATCACTCTACCACACACACACACACCACAGCGTCCCAACCACCTATATCACTCTACCACACACACACACCACAGCGTCCCAATCACCTATATCACTACCACACACACCACAGCGTCCCAACCACCTTTATCACTCTACCACACACACACACCACAGCGTCCCAACCACCTATATCACTCTACCACACACACCACAGCGTCCCAATCACCTACATCACTCTACCACACACACACCACAGCGTCCCAACCATCTATATCACTCTACCACACACACACACAGCGTCCCAACCACCTATATCACTCTACCACACACACACTACAGCGTCCCAATCACCTATATCACTACCACACACACACAGCGTCCCAACCATCTATATCACTACACACACACTATCCCAACCACCTATATCACTCTACCACACACACACACAGCGTCCCAACCACCTATATCACTACCACACACACCACAGCGTCCCAATCACCTATATCACCACCACACCACAGCGTCCCAACCACCTATATCACTCTACCACACATACACACCACAGCGTACCAATCACCTATATCACTACCACACACACCACAGCGTTCCAACCACCTATATCACTCTACCACACACACACACCACAGCGTCCCAATCACCTATATCACTCTACCACACACACACACAGCGTCCCAATCACCTATATCACTACCACACACACACAGCGTCCCAATCATCCTCTACACACACACACACCACAGTCCCAATCACCTATATCACTACCACACACCACAGCGTCCCAACCACCTTTATCACTCTACCACACACACACACCACAGCGTCCCAATCACCTATATCACTCTACCACACACACACACAGCGTCCCAACCATCCATATCACTACCACACACACCACAGCGTCCCAATCACCTATATCACTACCACACACACCACAGCGTCCCAATCACCTATATCACTACCACACACACCACAGCGTCCCAACCACCTTTATCACTCTACCACACACACACACCACAGCGTCCCAACCACCTATATCACTCTACCACACACACCACAGCGTCCCAATCACCTACATCACTCTACCACACACACACCACAGCGTCCCAACCATCTATATCACTCTACCACACACACACACACCACAGCGTCCCAACCACCTATATCACTCTACCACACATAGTATAAGGTCTTGATATAGAACTGTCTGAGATGGTTCCCCAGTGTCCCTATTATAGTTTGATATTTCTGCTATATTTTTTTTCTGTGTAATTTTTCCTGCGCTATATTTTTTCCCTGTGCCATTTATTCCTATGCCACTTTTTCTGTCCTATTTCTTTCTGTACTATATTTTTCCCTCTGTTATATTTTCCTGTGTTATATTTTCCTGTTATATTTTCCTCTGTTATATTTTCCTCTGTTATATTTTCCTCTGTTATATTTTCCTCTGTTATATTTTCCTCTGTTATATTTTCCTCTGTTATATTTTCCTCTGTTATATTTTCCTCTGTTATATTTTCCTCTGTTATATTTTCCTGTGTTATATATTCCTCTGTTATATTTCCCTAAGCTACCTTTCCCCAGTGCCATCCCAAACACCTCCCAAGACACTAAATCCCCCCCAAATATTCTTTAAACATTATATTTACTTAACTGGGAATAACACAATGTTTATAGCCAGTTAATGTACAGTTTCTATATAATTTTGACGCCATTTTAAATATTTATTTATAAATAGTTTAATTACACAAATATTCTAGGTAAGTTTTTATATCTACTTTGACCTAACCTAACCAAACCTAACTTAACCTACCTTCATCTAACTTTAAGCTAACTTAACCGAACCGAACCGAACCGAACCTGACCTAATCTAGAATACATTTAAAAAAAAATAAAAAATCCGGTTCACGTCTTCGGTTTAATTACAGTATTACGTAAATGTTCCTTGTCGAGTAGAATAATGAAGGTCGTTCAGGGTAGGAAATACTGAGTCTTGTGTTACAGTAAATGATCTAAAACAAGGTAATTGAGGGGGACAGGTGATAATGTGTGTGTGTGTGTGTGTGTGTGTGTGTGTGTGTGTGTGTGTGTCCAATACTGTAATGAAATATAACTCAGCCATATCTGTACTGAATCTGACCAGAATATTAGATGGACTTTGGGATAAACTGGCCTTTCTGGAAGGTCAAAGGTCAAAGGTCAATGTCATAGGTCAGTGTCATCGAAAGTTAAGATATCAAATTTTTTCCACGATAACATTTTAACAAGTGTCGTAGAAGGATGACGGGATGTGTGGCGGCTGGTGGCGGGGATGTGTGGCGGCTGGTGGCGGGGATGTGTGGAGGCGGTGGCGGGGATGTGGAGGCTGGTGGCGGGATGTGTGGAGGCTGGTGGCGGGATGTGTGGCGGTGGTGGCGGGATGTGTTTAGGGTTATGGCGAAGATGTGTGGAGGTTTGTGACGGGGATGTGGAGGTTTGTGGCGAGGATGTGTGGAGGTTTTGTGACGGGGATGTGTGTTTGTTGTGTGGGCGGGATGTGTGGAGGGTTATGGCGGGGATGTGTGGGAGGTTTGTGACGGGGTGGTGGAGGTTGGTGACGAGATGTGGGCAACTGGTGGAGATGGCGATGAGGTGAGGTGGCGGTATAGAGGCTGCGAGACCATGCGGACAGGTGAGGTGGGGTGAGGTTAGCCCACACACAAGGTAGCGGTTCACAAAGGGATCACCACCACCACCACCAACACAGCCACCACCACCCAGCCACCACCACCACACAGCCACCACTACACACCAGCCACCACCACAGCACCCACCACACCACCACCACCACCACCACCAGCCACCACCACCACCACCACCACCACCACAGCCACCACCACCACCACACCAGCCACCATAACAACCGCTATTGTTGGTAAATGAATTAAATGGGTTTCAATAAAGCAAACAAGAATGAATGATATGACCCCCAACCAAGAATGATGATGACCCCCAACTAAGAATGATGATTGCCCAACTAAGAATGATGATGACCTAACCAAGAATGATGACCCCAACCAAGAATGATGATGACCCCAACTAAGAATGATATGACCCCAACTAAGAATGACCCCTAACTAAGAATGATGATGACCCCAACCAAGAATGATGATACCTAACTAAGAATGATAATGACCCCAACCAGAATGATGACCCCACCAAGAATGATGATGTCAACGAATGATGATGACCCCAACCAAGAATGATGATGACCCCAACTAAGAATGATAATTACCCCCAACTAAGAATGATGATGACCCCAACTAAGAATGATGACCCCAACCAAGAATGATGATGACCTAACTAAGAATGATGATGACCCCCAACCAAGAATGATGATGACCCCAATTAAGAATGATGATGACCCAACCAAGAATGATGATGACCCCAACTAAGAATGATGATGACCCCCAACTAAGAATGATGATGACCCCCAACTAAGAATGATAATGACCCCAACTAAGAATGATAATGACCCCCAACCAAGAATGATAATGACCCCCAACTGAGAATAATGATGACCCCAAACAATAAGAATGACCCCAGTGACTCTCTTGACCCCACGAATATATAGGATGTACTTTGGCAGGGATAAGTGCGTCCTTGGTTACTGATTGTTATTGTCCGTGTATGATACCCAGCGGTATGGCCCTAAGATATTCATAATTATTCATTCATTCATTCTTACAATATTGTTTTTGTATTATTATTCTATTCTTGTATAATGTATTCAAAACCCTTAAACTAAATTATTATTGTTATTCATTGTTGTATTATTGTATTATTCCGGCAAAAATATACACTTTCATTTTCAATACCAGTATACAACAGGATTCGCTAGCAGTGATTAACTTCATAACTATCGGATTGGCTCGTTAACATAGTGGAGATGATAGTTAAATGGGCCTTTTGTCGTCTGACGAATTTCATCTTATCTGAGTTTTAAAAAAAATCTATACCCGGAGAGTTTGTTTACATTCGTGGCTATGTGAGGAAATAATCTCCACGGGAAGGCGAGAATACGGTCTGTTACGGTCGGTATACGGTCTGTTACGGTCGGTATACGGTCGGTAAATACAGTGTTCTGGTGTTTTGATAAGTCATATTTATCTGTGATTTTCTTCTTGGGGTTTCATCAGTGTCTGTGTGAAGATTTTTTTTTATTGTTTTGGTTATGTGATGTTGCTCCGTCATGTTTACCTTCACTATAGAGGGCCTACAGGTGTGTTACTCCACCTGGGTGTCTGGGTGTTTTTAATCTATGGCATCCCGGGGTAGTGGTGTGACCTGATCTGGTGGGCACTTGACTGGGGAGGTGGAGGTCGAGCCACATTACCATCTCCAGGGGTGTTCACGGCCGTGTCCCATCCTCTTATCTCCTGCCATCTCAAATTTTAATGGCCGGACCTTCATAAAACCTGCCATTTTCTCATTCACTAATAGGCCACACCTGTGAGGGACAATTCCCAGGGGGGGTCAAAAACAAACATTGTGGCGGGCGGCGTCTTGACCAAGCCCTAGCCCCCATGCCCCGCCCTTCGTCGCCGCCGCCATCCGTCACGCTCCGCCCACTGTCTAACCGCTACACGGGTGAGTGGCTGAGGCTGGCGAGAGGCGTGGCCTCCTCACAGACAAAACCCACCACACGAAGCAGATATAGGTAGTTCCCGACAAGCACTCGTGAATGATACGTACAGCCGGCCTTTCCATGAGGTAGTTACGCGTTCGCCAGAGTGCAGTGTAATTAGTGCTAAAGAGAGACATCCAGTGCAGTGTTAGACTATAAACATGTACGAGGAGGAGCTGCTGTACCTTCGCAGCCGCGGGATGGCCCCCACCGGCCCCCTCGGCCTCCACCCTTACCTAGGAGGAGGTTTACCTGCCAATCTTACCGATCACCTGGAGAAGTACCGATTTGGGTTCCACGGTAAGTCCCCAGGTGGTAGTGAGGGCACTACCCCGCCACACATTGGCCTTTGGCAAAATTTAAATTGTATATCTGTAATGTTCCCATCTCCTTCATGTCAATACTACAGTAATGTTACATTTGAAATTCACTGTGAGAAAAAGATAAGTTTTAGTGGCTCATCAAGCAGAGTTAAGTGGTAACATGAGTCCAGGTCTGACGTGGTGCTCTCTTGGTCCCTACAGGAGGCGTCCCCACCCACTCACCCTTCGGCCATGGGTTCCCTGGTGACTACCTCAAGCCTCCGTCCCAGTGTGGAGGCTTCCACGCCCCGGGGCTGCCAGGGGGCAAGCCAGACCCCCGCATCAAGGCTCGCCTCGAAAATGAAAACCTCTGGAACCAGTTTAATAAATTCGGCACCGAGATGATCATCACTAAGTTGGGAAGGTGAGTACATGGCCCTTATACTGAGTACATTACCCTCACACCGAGTGCATTACCCTTATACTGAGTACATTATCCTTACACTAAGTGCACGACCATCCTTAATACAGAGAACACGACCCTTATACTGTGTACATAGTGAGACAATTATTATTACGTTGATTGAGTCATGTAAGACGGTGATGTAAAGTACAAGACTGCGTTAATTATTCTTTATATAAACAAAGTACAAAAAAATCGCAGACACACAGCACAAATAATACAGAAGAACAAGTAAAGTATAGACTGTAGTGTGATGCTGACAGGTTCGGTCATAATAAACGGGTTATAATAATCTAAATTAAAACTAACATAATTTGAGGAGTATTTCACAGTAAAATACGGAGCAGAGTGACCGTACACACTGAGGGCGCCAAGTAATAAGCAACATGGTTAGAAAATTAAGATGATCAATTTCTGTAGAGTGTTAAGTTGACCTTCGACAATATATAACAATGGTTCAGTGTTACACAATAGCCTTCTATCACAGCTGCTATACAACTTTTGCTGAACACATTTACTAAATTATTTGCCTCATTCTGTGAGTATTAATACAAGAATAACATTTTCACAATAGTCAAGGTTGTGAAAAACAAATTTAGTAAATGAAAATATTACACTTGGTGCAATATGAAATTTAAAAAATATAATAATTAAACTGAGTAATAATTTATAGCCTTAAAATTTGACAACTGTTCTGTAATATTAGAATAAGGTATTTTTAATATAAAAATTGTGTTAGTACAGTATGTTGTAATGAAATAAACTAAACTAATAAAAGTGCAGTATATTATATATATATATATATATATATTGTATGTATAATATTATGGACACGATTAAAAAACTAGAGTTCTTATCTTTTCTAATAAAAAAGTTCAGCTATTAAATAATTATAAGAGAAAATAATTTAGGATAATAACTGCATCATGACCAGCCAGAGTACACAACCTGGAGACCTTATCACCAAAATTAAATCATCACACTGTAAAGTACACACAAAAAAACACCCACATTCCACTCCGCCTCGACCACCACATCGCGCGCCCCGATCTACCGCGGCGGCCGCCCTGCCTGCTGCCCGCCCGCCCGTCCCGCAAACAATTCAATCTCGCGCCGCCACTTTGATGTCGGCAGAGACAATGAGTGGCTGGTGATAGGGGATCGTTTAGCTGGTGGTGGTAGTGGTGGTCTCAGCTGTGGCTATCAATGCTCCCTACGTCTAATTGTCTCCCCTCAAACTAGGACTACCAGAACGCGTTTTTAACTGTGGTGTTTCCCACTACCTCGTAAAGATAGCGAGCGGGTGGTGCAGTGGTGTATACAAAGCCGGCCGTATTTATATCCCAAGACACGTGGAACTTTACCATACGAGACTTTGGGAACCCAGGTCTTGGTAATCCTAGAGGAGGAGGAGGGGGGAGGAGAGGAGAAGACAGTCGCCGCCGGCATCCTCCTACCCCTCCTCCTCCCATCTCTGGTAATAACACGCCCTGACCGCCCCTCGACCGCACTATCACCACCGCACATCTAACAACTCCACGACTTACAGCCTCATGGTAATTAATGACCGTCTATTACACACAACTATGTATTGTAAATCATAATAATTATTGATACCTATAATTTTTTGTTAAAGATACAAAAATAATTATTTAATTTAGACATATAGTATAATCAACATCGTAAAGACAAATAAGGTCATTATCACCTTTATTTCCTTATGGATCTAGAGTAATCGGAAATTACATACACATATTATTAATTACAACTACCTATAAAATTCTAATATAATCATCCCTCGCACCAAAAATATTAATTGATGGTAATTACTGTATCTACCGATCCATTAATACCCTTTAATGATATTACTTAATTACCTGAAGATGATACTTTTGTTTAAAACTATTAAAAGATGGTGCCCATAAAATCCTTAATTATTAAAGTACAGAATTTTATAATAAAACCAACAAACCGTACTGAAGTGTGTGTGTGTGTGTGTGTGTGTGTGTACCTCACCATGACCTCACGACCTTACCTGCTTCACCTCACACTAATTAGTTTATGGCAGGATACAGATAATATATGACATTTACTCAACTCCTTTTTTAATATCTATTCATTTCTATAACTGGTTTGCTAATATCTGTTTAGTTTAATATCACATTTTTAGCACAATCTTAATACTTTTTTCTTTCAATCGTATAATTATTGTCATTGTGATTTGGTGGAAATAATTAAATTGTAAAAATATATTTCTTTCAACTGGATATTTTGTACGTATCTATTTTTATGTTCATTTTATCATTCGCTATTGTAGTTGAGATTAATTAAAGAGTTCCCAGGTGTTAGTGTGGAGTGACCGTAGTAGTGAGTGTCAGGGACGGGGTGAGTGACAGGCAGAGGAATGGAGTGACCATTCTATAAGGAGCGATATAAGGCTGAACGAGGGAGTAACTGAGTGAGGTGTATAGTTAGTGTGAGTGATCGAGAGAGTGAATTGGCTGATCTAGAGAGTGACAAGGTGAAGGGAGTGAGTGAGCCGAGGGAAGGAGCGGCGACAGAGGAGAAGGAGGAGGCGGTGAGGGTAACCTGATAGTGTGTTCAGTAAAGGGAGAAGTGTGTGTGTGTCTGTGTGGGCTTCACCGCGCCAACAAGTGTCGCCGTGTTTCACTGTTTGAGCGTCAATGTTTGAGTCACTTAAGCTCGTCAACAAAACAAGTCTCAAGTGTTTGTCGCAGTTCTCACCGCCGCGGCTTAGGGTGTGGTGTTGGCTGATCGTCTCACACGGCGATTCATTTTATTGATTCGGTTGAGGTGGTGATACTCTACCGCCGTGAACTGGTTATCAACAACGTTAGTCTTCGTGGTTTTATTTTCTTAAACACAAGAGTCAACTAAGCCAATCTAAACCTATCTCTAGTCTAGGTAAGTTGAGAGGGGGGGGGGGTTAGGTCATGTGGCTCGTTTAGTGTTATAGAAGTACGCGGGCAACATGGCGTGTGTGTAATGGCAGCCATAGCATGTCCGATCCATGTTCACTAAAGAAAAGTTCAAGGCAAAATATCCTCTTTATTTTATTAATTCACGGACAACAGAACAAGTACAAGCACAGAGACTTGTAGATGAAAATATCACACAAACACTGTTCAGGTTCACTGTTATTATGTCATCATTTGGTAGACGGGAAGTATAGTGCGGTGTGTTGACTGAGGGAATACTTCAAGTAATGTGCTTAACAAGATCGTTCTCGTGTTCCAGGCGGATGTTCCCGACTGTGAAGATGTCAGCGAGTGGTCTGGAGCCCAACACTAAATACTTTGTGTTGATGGACATTGTGCCAGCGGACGACTCGCGTTACAAGTTCCAAGGAAAGGAGTGGGTGGTGGCAGGCAAGGCGGAGCCCCACATGCCTGGCCGCCTCTACATCCACCCGGACTCCCCGGCGTCAGGGGCACAGTGGATGCGCCACCCCATCAGTTTCCAGAAGCTGAAGCTGACCAACAACAACCTGGACCAACAGGGACACATCATCCTCAACTCTATGCATAAATATCAGCCAAGAATCCACATTGTGGCGGCGCCAGACCTGGTCTCCCTCCACTGGGCGGCCTTCAACACCTTCAACTTCCCCCAGACCTGCTTCCTGGCGGTCACGGCCTACCAGAATGAACGCATCACACAACTCAAGATCGACAACAACCCCTTCGCCAAAGGCTTCCGGGAAAATGGGCAGCTGCGTTCTAAAAAGAGATCAGGCGGGACGTCGCCACAAACCGGTGAACTAACCGCAACGCCAGAGAAAACCATCGAAGCAGACGACAGTAAGTTACTGCCGAGTTTATTATGTAGCGTAGCCATTGTTACAGTACAACACATTTACTTGTCTCTCTGATGACAACAGTCCTAGATACAAAAGTATTTATTATCAGTTGAAACTCATTTTCTTTTCTTCCCTCAACAGCCACCCTGGACAAGCGCGCCCGCCTCAACAGTGTTGATAGCGGCGACCTGGACGCGTCTGACATGGAGGACCGGCCAGCGTCCTCTATGTCAGTAGAGAAGGACCCGGGTGACGAGAAGGTGGACGTGGAGAGCCCCCCGACACCACCCCCGCCCTTCCTGCCGCCCCCACAGATCATTAAGTCAGAGGTGGAGGAGACGCCCATCTCTTTGGTGTCGCCACTCATGTCCGCGGCATCCATGATGGCGGCAGCGGTGGCAGAAACTAGAAAGACACTGTCGCCACCGTCAATACCTCCGGAGCCTCGGCCACACGAGGTCAACATGCTGTCTCCTGCCGCCCCACGCCCCTGCCTCCCGTCACCAACATACTCCACAGGTCTACCTGGCAGCATCCCGACAGGTATGCCTGGCGGTTCATTACCGTATCCGTACCTATACTACAGCCACATGATGTCCCCTTACCTGTTGAGTCGCGCACCTCACCTGACCGCGTCACCCCTAGACAAGGCTGCTGCAGCTGCCAGGGACATGTACGGTTACCCAACTTACCTACGGTCGCCCCCTGGCCATCACTCTTCACTCTCCGCCACGCCCTCCAGACCAGCGCCCATCCACCCCTACAGCTACGCCCTGCCGCCCCAGGTGCCGGCCAACCTGTGAGGCGGACCACCCCGGCGCCGCCCTCAGACCTCCCACAGTCAGTCGTCACTCCCTCCCCTGGTCCGTGGTGCGGCCCCCCCCTCCCTCCCTCTCCTCTCATCTTCATGTATATATCATCATTTATCATTTCGTGTTCACCATATGTTGCAAGTCCAGCACATCGTGATATGTATAGTGTCATTATTGTGGTCACTGTTTCATGGTGGCCTAGCGCACTGTTAGGCCACACATGAGCACGCTGCCGTCGCATCACTCAGGTGCCAAAGATATTTTCCTTTGTACAATTCCTCGACTATTTATTTTTTTTATACTTTGATGGTGCTTTTGTAAATATTGTAGGTGTACAGTTATTGTTGTAGAAGACGGGTAACTCAGGAGGCGTGGCACTGTCCACCGTTGTTGTTTGGAATAAAGATCAACAATTCTCACACCACACCTTTACTTAATCCTTCCATCCAGGTAAAACATTATGAGAACCTTGATCCACTGATTAGAAATTACATGAACGGTTCTCCCAATACCACGAGTTCTGCCGACGGCAACACTAAAGACAGTTACTGCGGCTAAAGTATCCAGTTCTCCAAGAAATTATAAACAAGAGAGAGAGACAATTAGTTAAAGGTTTGGGATAAAAAATATTATGATTTACGAAAAAGTTAAATAATAAATGGCGACGAGTTAAGACAAGACATCAATAAACTCTGATATTAACGGCAAGGAGACAACTGTCATCATCCTCCTCTAACCTGTAGCCAAGGGGCGGCGGGAGACATATAAGCACGAGGGGATTTTTTTCACACTTTTTTCCCAAACTTATATGAAAGAAACATATTTACTTTAAAATTCTTCAAGATGACCCAACCAAACCTAACCTAACCTTATGAGAAGAATATCACAACCCGGATGAACAATATAACACCCCCCCCCCCACCTTGGTATACTGTCAAGACTGAGTAGAAAGAAAGACAGACAAACACATTTAATAAGACAAGTATACACACTCAGAGGATTAGTAGAATCAGCCCCAGAACGTTGAGAGTGGAGGACTGTGGTCGCCAACCCTCAGATATGGGAACGATACTCTGATATACACGCTGTTCTCTTATACGCATAAATTAGTACAATATCTCATAATGTCTGAGAAATAAACAGTGAATAAATATATTAAAGAAACAAAAATAATGCCAAAGATAATGAATTTCAATACACTATATGGCCTAATTACTGATCAATTTAACTAAGGTTTAATCACTCGTTCTATAAATGCTACAGTGAACCTCTATTTAAATACCTGTCTTTAAAAAAAATCTTCTCGTAAATTATCAAAACCTTTCCTCGTGAATTCTTCAACGCTTCTAAAAAAATTCTCTTAATTTTGTCTCAAAATTTTTCTCGTAAATTCTCATAACATTTTCTTAAATACTGTCTTATTTTTGTTCTGTCCAATTATTCTCTGTTATAGGTTCCTTGTCTTAGGTTAAAAATATCCAAAGTTGTCCACTAAGATGATGTGAGTTCCGCCAGAATTCTTAATTTAAATATTCGATTCTTTCTATACAGGATTCGATTATATCAGTAAATGACTCAGTTCTTATAAGTAAAATATTTGGTTAATTTTGATAAAAGAACCTATTCCTTGAGTTAGAGGATTGGATAAATATATTCAACTAAAAGATTCATCCTCACATAAAGAATTCAACCCCGTTCGATAAAGGATCCGATCCTTTGTATAAAAAGAACTCAACTCCAGATACCAATGAAAACCTTTGCCTCTAATAAAGGGTCAGACATCTTAACGTACAGTACAGACAGAGAGGATCACAGTAATTAACACACCGACACCTGCTTCTGCCTCATTAACTCAGACTACTAATACGATTTAATTACCGGATCGTTAACTCATGAGTGGAAGTCCCCCAAACTGTCGGTCATTGTGAAAAGTGACTCATACAATTCATACAGATTAAAAAGGGGATGAATTTATTAATACAATCTCAGTTTTACCATAACGCGCTATATAGTCTTGCCAAAATTTCTTCAAGTAATCTATATAATAAAAACTAGGACTGGAAAAATCATAATAACAGTATAACATCTGAGGCAACGGAATGACAAAAGGAAAAAAGAACGCGATATTAAACCTCATTTGAATAGGTTTTAAAAGACGTCATACCTTAAAAGAAAGAAAATATAATACCATCTTTAGTAAAATATGTCAAGTATATACACCGTTAAAGGTATATATTTCTACTGTAATGCATAGTTATATAATATGTATACTGCAGTATACTATTCAGGAAACGGTGTAAGTGTGTATTATTATTTTTTTACACTATGTTACCTGCAGTAGTTGGTTTTCTATCATACATTTATTATTTTTCTTTCATTCTGTTTCCTTCGTTTATTATCTAATTTTTTTTCTTCTCATCATGTTTCAACGTTCAACAGAGAGAGGCCGCAAGGAGTGTTTGGGTGGGTGGTCCTCTCTCTCCCTCTCTACAAATATGGCCGCCTTATAAACAATGTATCTGTGCTTGTGTTTCCCGTATCTATATATCTATGCTCTTTAAGTCCTATAGTATTTCTAGTTTCTCTATATACTTTCTATTCGTGCTTCTATATGTTTTATACACACACATACATATATATATATATATATATATATATATATACTTTCTATATATAACATCAACGTCAACAAACTGTCTAGCTGTGGTTATAGGTATTGTAGTCAGTAAAAAAATACAATACAATAAAATAAAAGGTTACATGTTAGGGTAGTGAGGTATAAAGCCTAGTAACTGCACTTATAATACTGTTCACTTCCTGATAGTTTTACACACACACACACACACACACACACACACACACATATATATATATATATATATATATATATATATATATATATATATATATATATATATATATATATATATATATATATATATATATATATATATATTAGAAAATGCTTACAAAAATATACACACACAAATATATTGTGCTTAATAATATTCTTACGGACACGACAGAGAAATAGAGAGACAGTTACAGTTAGAGAAGCGGACAGACAGACAGAATGACAGTGAGACACATACAAAGATAGGCAGACAGACAGAATAACAGTGAGAGACATACAAAGATAGGCAGACAGACAGACAGACAGAATAACAGTGAGAGACGGACAGACAGACGGAGAGTGAGACAAACAGAATGACAGGGACAGACAGACAGTGAGAGACAAACAGGGACAGAAAGAGGTCTTACAAGTTCCCATTCTGGTGTCACACACACACACACACACACACACACTGTACTGTACAGCCCTGTACATGTATTGAAAGTATATTATTATGTCTAAATCACATGTGAGTTTGTATATTTTCAGCCACCGACTACAACTCTATTAATAAACCTTGTTATTATTTTATTATTACACACCTGCGCCACCGACCAATCGCTCTACGCTAAACTCAGTCGATCAACCTCACAACATTGTACCCCAAACAAACGTCATTTGATCAACAGTTGTAGTTCAAACAGGTTAGTACTTTGTGATGAAGCAGGTGGTACAGGTGAGATGCTTAACTAATTACACACTGTCAAAATGTATACAGAAAATACTAAGTCAATGCTGAAAATTTATTCGCGTGGTGTTATTATTAGTAATTTTTTTCATATTATTGTTTTGTATTTTTATTATAATTATTGTGTTTCTTCTTCTTCTTCTTCTTCTTCTTCTTCTTATTATTATTATTATTATTATTATTATTATTATTATTTTTATTATTATTTTATTATTATTATTATTATTATTATCATCATCTATTCTTCTTATTATTATTATTATCATTATTATCATTATTATTATTAGTATTATTTTTATTATCATTATCTAGTCTTCTTCTCTGTGGACATTTCCTCAAGAAATTTTTAATCTTTAATCTTTGTCAGTTTTTTTTATTATCCACGTATTATATTTTTAACTTTTAATTTTAGTAATTTACTCTTCCTTCCTCCAAAAAAATTGTCACTTTCCTTCTCTTCGCACCTTCCTCTGCTTAATGGTCACTTTCCACATTCTTACTATTTCCTGCCATTTTCGTCTTTTTAATAGTCACTTTCCACTTCTCATCACTTTCTTACTACTTTTTGTCACTTCCCCTCCCATTCTATTTTCTTTCATTTTCCTCTTCCTTTCTACTAACTGTCACTTTCCTTTCCTCTTCTACTTCTGTCACTTTTCTCTCCCTTTCTACTTCCTGTCACTTTCCTCTTTTCTTCAAGCTCTTATCGTGTTTCTTATTCCTATCCACCTAAAATATCATACGTTATCTTATTAAAAACGTTCCTTACCTCAAATATCATAAGTTATCATGTTAAAAACGTTCCTTACCTAAAATATAACACGTTATCATGAAAAAAACGTTCCTTACCTAAAATATCACACGTTATCATGTAAAAAACGTTCCTTACCTAAAATATCATACGTTATCATGTTAAAAACGTTCCTTACCTAAAATGTGACACGTTATCATGTAAAAAAACCTTCCTTGCCTAAAATATCATACGTTATCATGTTAAAAACGTTCCTTACCTAAAATATCACACGTTATCATGTAAAAGACGTTCCTTACCTAAAATATCACACGTTATCATATAAAAAACGCTCCTTACCTAAAATATCATACGTTCTCACATTATCATCGTCGCATATCCATATTCCTTTATTTTCTTTTATTTTTTCTACAGTAGATTTATAAAGTCATCCACCTTACTACATCCTCCACCAACGTGTACTAACAGTGGGGCGCATTACTAAACTGCTTATGTAAATTTTAGAGATTAATCAAATGTTTTTATAAAAAGCAAAGGAGTTAAGATATTGATAGTGAAATGTTGCCAAGTTACACTACGCAATTATTATAAAATTAATCACGTTACAAATATTAATGGACTCGATAGCACCTTGACGTCTTCAGCATAAAGTGTAAAAGTATTAATTAAACTGTTAAAGTATAATTGAAATAAATGACGTGTAATAAAACCGTAAAATAAAATGAAGACTTGACTGGATAATAATGTCCGGTTATGATACTTAGAGAAATAATTATTGTATTATGAGTGAGAAAGTCTGTGGAAAGTGTGGGATGACTAATTGTATCACAGCAGAAAGAAAGACAAAGTTACTGAAGGAAGAATGAAGGTTATTATTATTATTATTCAAATGCAAATAGTTAAGTGTATAACAATAAATACCAAAATTCTCCGGTTATAGAACAGTGAAGGAGTTATGAAATGAGGTACACAGTGAAACCTCCATATAACGGACATTTTCTCCATACAATCCGTTAGATGGGGGTTTCACATCTAACGGACCCTCCATATAACGGACTTTGAGTAAGGTAATGAGAAGGTATATGCT